CAGAAGAGGTGGAAACTTACAGGGACTGGCCAGACAAGTTGCTGTTTGCTCTCTGGGGCTATAAAACATCAATTCGAACATCTACTAGGGAAACTCCGTATTCTCTGGTGTGTGGAATGGAGGCCGTTCTGCCAATTGAAGTTGAGGTTCCGTCGCTGTGGGTTATGGCTGAGTGCCAGATAGCAGAAGCGGATTGGCACCAAAGCAAGTTCGAGGAACTAATGTTGTTCGATGAGAGAAGGCTGAAAGCACTATACCATGTCCAAGGTTATTAACGTAGGATTGCCAGGGTTTTCAACAAGAAAGTTAAGTCTCGGAATCTTAAGGAAGGGGATTTGGTGCTCAAAGACAACTGAGCTCCCATCCATGGCCCTAGGGGCAAGTTCAGACCTAATTGGACTGGCCCTTACATCATGAAGTCTATCTGGTCGGGTGGGACTGTCATCCTTATAGACCTAGATGGCTTCGAATTCTCCCATCCAATCAACATGGACCAGTTGAAGAAATATTACCCCTGAGAGGCTCGCTAGGCAGAAAATCCGGAAGGGCGACCTAGGCAAAAGTTAGAGCACAAAAAATTGGAAAAAAGAAAAAATGAGCTCGTAAGGTTGAAAACCCAGAAAGGAGAGTGTTAATACCCGGAAGGGCAACCTTGGCAAAAGTTAGAGCATAAAAGGAGAGTGTTAATACCCGAGTGAACCCGAACCGAACTACATAAGTCTTGATTCCCATCTTTGGGATACGTAGGCAACTTCATTCTAAAGTCCAGCCATAAACACTTCCAAATCAACTGTGTCCATGAGATTGTTCTGGTCATCTTTGTCTTTTCTGCGTCCAAGAGTTCAGTTGAGATCTTCGCTATGAGAGCTGGTTACAGTACAACATAGTGCTATTCAGACAAGGGGCAATTTTCCATTTGCTGGATTTGGTTTGTACATCTCGAGGATAGATTCCAAGTATGTTCAGTTGTGATCCTTTTCGAAAATGGTTCTGAAAAGTTTAATAAAAGCTGATTTTGTTCAAATTAATGTTTTTACAACTTCGACCATTTTTGGACCAAAAGGAAAATTTTCAGTACCCACAACTTTAATTTTATTACATTAAATCAATGTTTCTTTTTATTACATTCAAAAGGAAAACTTAAAAGTATAGACCAAAGCAATAAACTTGGGGCATCGATGAGTTAAGTGTTCCTACGCCCCCTCTCAGAGCTTGTGGAAGCTTCAAATGCTAAAGTAGGCCCGACTTGTGCCTTATCTTCAAGCCAAGCTATGCATTCGCCAGAAAAGCACAACTAAAATTGGGAGCGGGAGCCAGAAGTTCTCTTGTCCTCCATGTAGTAGAATTCCGAGTTAGTTGTGAACCTCAGATTGGAAATGAAGCCAGGTACTCTACCCCCACTTCTGGGCAAGTCTAGTCGTGTCCGAACTGACGTCGAAATCGAAATAGAAAATAGAAGGCACAGTGTGTCAGGCCAATCAACTGAATACCGGGTTGCCGGGCCATGCTGTAGCTCATCTCAGACATATCAAACCAAGGGCAACGCCAAGCAATGTCAACAGCAGACCTGTTGCACATCCAATGGCACCACCACCCCTCATTCGGGAAATCAACTAGCCGTTGGCGACATAAATAGCCGCGTGCTGAATATGCAAGGCAAGAGTACAAAACTTTTAACTTGTCCATAAGCCATATCTGGGGAGGGATGAAAAATAAGAGAGATTAAAGAATAGAGAGGTGTATATGGAGAGAAAAAGTGAGAAAGGGTTTTGAGAGAAAAACAGAGCCTAAGTGCCGAGTGATGTGAGAAATACATGTGAGATAGGATGGGAAACATTACCTGCAAAAGTAGTGGACTTCTTGCAAACTTGTTTGTCTCCTATCGGTGGAAAGCATCCAGGCCTATCAAAGTCTCAGCTAATGTCACGCCAATATAGCTCTTGCCCTCTTTCAAGCATTTGGGCTACTTCGATCAAGCGAATGCTAGACCCTCCGAAGGTAGGGGCAAGAAAAAAATGAGCCAACATACACAAGTAGAGGGCATGCTGCCGAAAACTTTGCCAAAGACGGTCACCGTGGTTGCCGGCATCAGAAAACCGATGAATAAGACTGGGAATATCCAACTCCTCGTTGTGAACCAAAGATCGAGCATCGTGTAGAGTGAACCCACATATCCTTCCTAAAGCCTAGATGTGACCAAAACGGGGCTGGGGCAAGATTTCCTTGTCACGCTGGGATTCCATCAAAACTAGGAACTCTTTGATTGTGCGGCATATCTCTTGTCCTCCAAAGCTAAAAACATGTGTAACCGGGTTCCAACATCTAGCCGTGGCATGAAGGAATGGAAAACATAGCAGAGTACGACTCAACAGGAATAGTGCATTTATCCCGAAATCCCAGAAATTCAGCTTTTCCGAGCCATCTAAAGTCCCAATCCAATCGAAGAGTTTTTGGGTGAAGAATGGCTCCATTTGAAGCAAAAACAGAGCTGGAATGAAGAAACTACGAAGCTGGTGCTTTTGCAGAAGATAAAGTGCCGAATGGAAGACAGGTGGCAACAATTTGAAGGTTCCCTGCACTAGTGGCCGACCGTCCACTTTTGTATGCCGACCGGCTACTACTAATAGCCGATAGTCATTTTTTGGTGGCCGGCAGCCTTTGTTTATGGCCGATGGCCTCCTATTTTGCCCTCCGGTCCATCCATGTGTTGAAAGTGCTAAGAACTTGTGTCTTGTTCTACTCTTGGTGTATTTTGTCGTCTGTCTTTAAGAGTGTTGTTTCAAATTTGCTTATCGAGTTGTTATTTTGCTTATTGAGTTGTTGATTTGCTTATCGAGTGATTGTTTGGCATATTGAGTTGTTGTATTAGTTGTTCATTGAGTTGTTTTACTTTGTTTATTATGTGTTGGCTGGTTCACTACCTGATGAGGAAGTGCCAATGCAATGTACAACATCAAATTTCCATCAAAATCCCGTTTTTGTGTAAAATGGTGAAATGCGATGCTCAGAATAAAAAATACAACACTTTTTCTCATCAAAAGGGATGTTTTCATTCCAATCATGGTTTCTTTTTACAAAGAGTACAAGTTTTTAAGAAAATAAAACTGTCTAAGTCTGTACAATGTGCTAACACTACTAGCAAAAAGAAACAAAACAAAAAACATCTAAATCGGTGCCAGCCACCTCAGGATCGAGAGGCCCTCTTCGTCCTCTTCCTCAGCGGAGTGGACCCTACGGCACTATCACCATCGGCGCTGCTGTCTGAATCTGAGCTCGAGCCTGAACCAGAGCTGCCTCCGCTTCCCTCCTCGGCATCACCACCGCCCTCAGAACCCGAGCCGATGCCGTCGCCTCCACCCTCAGATGAGTCTGACTGGGGACTCGCTGGCTCCTCATCCTCATCTGTCTCATCATCATCTGGGACAGGCTCTGATAGGTCGCTCTCGTCACGAGTACATCTAACTCAGCCTGGGTTGTGCACCGGAGCCCCTCGTCTCCCTCTCTGTAATGACCCCAAAATACGTATAGGAAGTCATCCTTATTTAATTCGGGGTTAATGTGTTTTAATTTAACTATATCTGTTGGAATTGAAGAACTATCTGTTGAGTTATGATTTTAAAACTAGAATTGACGACCTTTACTGTAACGATCGGGAATTTTTCCCTCCGCTCGAGCGGACTTTTGGGGTTTCCAGTAATTTTGTAGGTGGACTGAAATTCTGGGAGTGGTGATTTACCGCTCGAGCATAGAAGTGGTTGCTCGAGCGGACGGCTTTGTTGGTCTCCGCGCTCGAGTGCAAGGTTGGGCACTCGAGCAGGTTGCCTAGTTAAGTTTGAACTTCTGAGGCACGTGGGCTCATTTTTGACATTCTTATTAGTGTATTTGGAATGTTCTTATCTTATTTTGGGGTATTGATTGAGGTGGTAGTATGATGGTAAAGTAAGATTGAACCAAAAAATATAATCCGGATATTTAATCTACGATCAGCTGTCACTCATTTGCCCTTTTCTTTTTCCACACTTTGAATTTGAATACGAGGTTAGAACCATTCGAAAGATTATTTCCGGGGCTTCAATTTGGACACAAAAACGACCTAAAACGGAGTCCGGATGGGAGAGTTATACCTGTTTGAAGTTTTGGAATCTGTGCTGGGAGCAGGTACGCTCGAGCGTGAAGAGGGATGGTCGAGCGGGTTTCGCGAGCACAACAGCGTAAAAACGGGAATTTTGGATCATTTCTTATATTTTCTCCTTCCCTCTTCCTTCCTCTCTTCCTAGGTCTGAAAACCTAACCCTCAAACCTTTGATTTCATCCATTCTCACCAACAATCCACCGTGGATCGTGCATCAAGGATGAAGAAGAAGTAAAGATCAACTTTTCCACTGCAGGAAAATTCACTTTTAGCGGCGTTTAAAAAATGCCGCTATAAGTACTAAAAACGTCGCTAATTCTTTTTGTGACGTTTAGTACCAAACGCCGATGACGCGGCCGTCGCTATAACTTTACGACGTTTTGAAAAACGTCGCTATATTAGTATAGGCGGCGTTTTTAAACGCCGCCAAATGTCTTATCTAACAGTACTATGACGTCACTATGATATTAAGCGACGTTTTTGAAACGCCGTTATATTTTTTTTGAAAAATATGACCGTTAGATTTATAGGTGTAGGTGGCGTTTCTTAAAACGCCGTGGTATCCTTTTCTTTTTTTTTTGTTTTGAAATTGTGCTAATTTTATGCGAATGAACTAAAAAAAATACCTCTAATAAAACTGAATAACACTAATATAAAATAATAACTCCCACTCAAATAATAAAATCATAACAAATGAAAATCCACAATCATTGTGCAAAAAAAAAAAAAAATCTTAATATTATTTTAATTATATTAGTCACAGTATTTGGAGCACTGAAAAAAGAATGAAATCTACAACATAGAAAACGATTACATATACTGGTCTAGCAATCAGTAGAAGACACTAGAACATTATGCTCCTTTAGACATCAGACGGTTTTGTAGTTGTAGAATGCCAGCAACCTTCTGGGATAGGATTGCATTCAATCTAGATATATAATCATCCAACTGATTTCCTGGTTGATCTGCCTCAACCAACAGGTTCATCTCCTACAAATATGAAAGAAGTATGTCAAAATCATGGATCTGCAGGCCATAGGAGTCGACAAATTGAACCTTCATTGATGAATAAATATCTGAAGATAAGCCAAAAGAGTCAAAAGATTGAACCTTTAGTAGTATCTGCACCTCATTCACTTCCAGCAAGATCTATGAAGGAGAGCTTGCCAACAACTCTCGGAGGCTTAGATTCACTGCCATCAGCTGACCATTTAATAGCAAGTTGAAGAATGGCATGTGAACGTGATGATTCCTCATTTGCACCGGTTATGCCTGCACTTCTTGTAGCATTTCCTTTCTCTATGAGCTCCTGGATTGTCTCCACATCTGACACTTTGCACTGTTGCAAACCAACAATGCAAACTTGATGTTTACCATTCTCTCTCATGCAAAGTTTCCTGCATAAGTAGAGAGAAATTAAAAGACCACAAATGGTAATTCCAAAGCAGGATATGATAACAGCACCTACTTCCTATCGCTGAGGAGATCAAAAAGTTTTCCTCCATATATATATATCTCAAAGAAGCTGAAAAACAACTGAAAGCCTTGGTTCCAGTAAGTATGGTGCATCAGCTTCAAGATATCTCGAGAGGCCTTAAGGGGCAATGGCTTCATAGTGTAAGTTTTTCCGCTTCCTGAACAAGAAAACAAACAGTGAATGAAAGCTTATTATAATGGTAACTTGAAAAAAAGAAGAAACAAATATCTAATGGTAGAAACCACCAAATATTGGAAAGAAATTCGTTGGTGGTCCACCAATCATCTCATTCTCAAGCGCATGAATAGTGACATGATCATAGACTTCCTTGGAAGCCCAGAACTATAAGATTTTCTGCAATCGTGATTGATTTTCCTCCTTGTTTTGAGGGTTGTGGTAAATCCTGGCAAGCATGGAACCTAAAACATGATTGAATGCAAGTGCCTCGTTATCAAGCTCATGAGGGTTGATCCTACGCTGCAAGCTGCATATTTCAAGAATGACCCAAAGATAAACATATGTAGCATCAATGCACACATTGATAGCCAAAAGATTAAACAATTAAGAAGCATTCAAGAAAGAAATAATTTCCTGCGTTCGCATCACAATAGCTCGATTTTAATTCCCCTTACTATATCAAGATTTGGCATAGCACTGGAAGTGTACCTGTCAAATAGAATGTCATTGGCAAGGTAAATTATATGCAATTGTCTCTCAGAATCATCCACACCAAACACCCTGTCCCTAAGTGCCTCGGCCAGAGCTGGTGCAAATGTTAGTTGTTACTCTCAAATGTGTCTCTATTTGCATAACTTTGTTGATGTTTTGCTGCAGTTAGTGTTTTCCAACTCTATGAATGTTTATTAAATTGAAGACAACTGGTAGAAGGTTGGTCTTGCTTTCATGGCACAGAAGGAAGAAAACAGTTGCTGATAAAATGAGCATATTTGAAATCTAAAGACTCAGATGAATTATGGACATGCCAAAAAGACAAGAATAAGAAATGAATGTGTTTCTAACGAGAAATGTATTATTAATTCATTACAAGAAACATGAGATGAAGTTGTTATTAGGTAAGGTATGATTATGTGCAAACAAAATAAAGACTAGTGAGTGTGAGGGACATGTGGACTGACAACGAAGGGACGGGGGCTGAGGAAAAAAAATTATACAAGAAGCTGTGAACTAACTAGAAATATTGTCTAGATCAGAATATGGTAGAAGAATTATTTTTTCCATCCAGTGAGTACTTACTATCTAAAGAGTAATTGTTGCATTATAGATTTTGACAATGAGGTTGAACTATGTGCCTTTCAAAAATGTAATTTGCTTCTGGTAATTGTTCCCATACTCTATTTGCAAACATGGTTATCAATCATGCACAACCTATGTATGCCATAAATGGATTTTTGCTGCTAAAAATGATTTTTACTGAGGTTACATAAGAAGGGCCTTTTACCTGCTCCTTCCTGCTCAATGTTTTATCTTATTGTGTGTTCATAAAGAATTGGTAATTTGCCTCGGTAAGCTAGCTCCCAACATGGAGTAAAATGTTACTATCAATGTAAATGATTGCCTAATTATTGCACAACCTCTTTATGGGCCTTTGGCAAGGGAAACCCATCATTAAGAAAAGATTGATATTCTAATTAATAAATAATTAATTGAGTTGACGTTTAAAAATTCAATATTTTCTGATGCTAAGAAGTGAAACTTAATTGAGATTGTATTTTAGTGGAGGAGATGTTGAAATCTTGAATGGCAACATGAAACCACCTGTGTCTGTGCTTGTAGGAGAACAAAGTCAATGTCAAAAACAACCGGGGAATGAAAGATAATGTCAAGTCCAGGCCATATGAAGATTCAATAATAACTCTATATTGTGAAAGAAATAAACTCAAACTCAAAAATGAGCTAGCTAAGTTATAAGTTGTTTAACTTAAAAACTTAACAAATTTCAAAACATGTTCAAGCATATGCATATTTACATAAACCAATCTTAAATGAGCTTTTACAAGTGAAACACAAGTAAATTAATTTTCTTTTACAATACATAACATATATTTACTGAGTTGAATACTAAATTGTTCAAATTTAGTATGAACACATAACAAAAATTAAAATATACTAAACCTAGGCATCCAGCTCAAAATTTAGTGGCCATCCCGAACTTCTCATCTCCTCCTTACACCTACCCTATCTCTCTCTTTCTCCCTATCCTCTGTAACCATTTTAGTACTCAATTGTCGCAACAAAGGATTATCAAGCAGACATAGTGAATAAATTCAAGGCAGACATAGTGAGAAAATAGCACAAATTCAATACTCAAACAAATAATTCATTTTGGGGGCTGTTTCCCCTGTTGGAAGAAATAGAAAAATGTGAAAGCCTTACCCAAAAAAGGAGAAATTAAAAAGGGAAAAAGTTGCCATACCTATTGGTCAGTTTCTAATTATTGATGGCCACTACTAAATGTGTGTGTGTGCCTGTGTGTGTGTGTGTGTGTGTGTGTGTGTGTGTGTGAGAGAGAGAGAGAGAGAGAGAGAGAGAGAGAGAGAAACACTAATAGGACAAAGTCTTGCTCACAATGGGCCAAAATTCAACCTAACCCTGATAGAGATAATGCCAAGGCGATAAAAAAAAAAAAATTTTGACTTCCCGAAGAGGACAATAGTGTTGGTGTTTATAGTGGCGGTTGCAACAACTTGATTTATTCTTACATAGCTATGGATGTTTGAAAGGAACAAATTCCTGAGTTTAAAGTTGGCTGATACAAGTTTTAGGATCTTTAAAAATGATAATAATAAAAAGGTTGTAAGAAGAGAATAACAGGTGATAAAAAAAACATATGAAAATCATGGTCCAGTGAGCAATGTGCAATGTCATCGCCAACTGAGCATAGAATATAGAAGAAGCTCAGAAGAAGCAACAATTCATTAGCCGCTCTAGCAAGATAACAGAAAAACAAATTGCATTGATAACACCTTGCATTACTACCAGACCTTAAATAGGTATACAAAGAGTCGAGAGAATTCAAGAGGATAGAAACAAAATTGAATAAGAATCATCTATTTCCATAATTTGTTGTTAATTTCATCAATTTGTTTCTACAACTAGCTTCCTGGCATTCTTTAATTTCCTTTCATCTCTAGTTTTCTCATGATGATTTATATCCTCAATAGCTTTCACAAAAAATTATTTCCATTGATACTATTACTTCGTTTCACTTTCAGACCTTATAAAACCTTCAAACAGGACGAAAACATAACCAAGAATTATGTCCCAAATTATACATTAATTAAAGCCATACCTAAAATAAATTGGAGTACTCTGTCAACAAGGCCCATTTGTTCCAAATTATACGTTATAAACCTGATAGCAGCATTTTAGCACTAGTGCAGCCATAACCTTTGTCTTTAACAAATTAACCAAAGTAAAATGCAAATGCAATCTTCCTTTTCTTATTTCAATTTTATTTCTTTAAAGCTCGAAAGTTTATTTGACCAGTTATCCACAGTATTTTGCGCACTACATCCAGATGAAATGCCTATTGACAACACATAACCTTTCTTTCTTACTTTCCTTTCCTTTCTTTTTTTTTTAAAACCTTTTTTGACAACTATTATAATCGCACATGCAACAACCCTCATACACCATGCTTCCCACAAATTTTCACAAAGTGTGCTGCAACTAGTCACTGATAAAGCTCTATGCCAGCCATTTGGGTTGGATGCAAGTTTACCACTAATATGTATCAAAGATAAGATATATCATAAGCTTTCTAAGTTTTAGTTCTAGTAGTCACATATGGTAATAAACAGAAGAGTAACAGTATGCACCGATATCCTTTTGATGAAGAAATTATGGTTGGCGATACCTTGGGCAGTAGAAAACATGAAATGTGCTCTTGGTGGATACAGCATTGCCCACGAGAGAAAGAACACTTTGATAATTTTGGTTTCCGAGAACTGAATCAAGAAGACCATTTCTTGGTCGAACAGCGCAAAAGAGAGATTACAGACAATTCAAGTATGGACAACACCACCTGCACTTGTTAAAAGGTAAAAAAAATGTTATTAATGCAAGAACACATTAATTATGTAGAAACAATAAATAATAAAATGAAGTAGTTGTTTTACCACTGAAAAACTATTCATTATTACTTGTGAAGATCAACTACAGCCTTCTTAGAGGCACTAACAATGCAACTATATAATTAGAAAAGCCTAATAATGTATTTAGCAAACTAATAAAATAAATTCTCAGCATTTTGCATGATAGGGACCTGAAATCATTGTGTGAGAATTTTTGGATTCTATGATTCTGAATGGGACAACAACTAACTACTAAGTAATATATATTCAAATGAAAGCTCTCTGTTAGACTATTACCAGGTGGATCAATGCACAATAGGGACCTAGGATTCTAGGACTCTCTTTGCTACTGTTTACTATTGAATGAATTAAAGAGGCCTCAAAAAAACAGGGGCAAAAAAAAACAAACAAGGGCTGGGCTGAAGTCACCTTGTTGCTGCGAAAAACAGATGAAATCAACTTTGACAAAAGGGAGGAAATTGACTTCGAGTGGCTCTTCTTGCTGCACTACAGAAAAGAAGAAAAAAAAATGTAAAAAACCAAGAAGAATAAAAGAAGAAATGAAGAATAAAAACGATGAAGAAGAAGAATCGAACAAAGGACACTGACCGGAGTTTACTCAATGTGTAGCATTTTGGGCTTGGTTGTAAGAGTAACTAGGTTAGGTTTGTTATTTTGAAGTGTGTGTTTGAAGATTGGCTTGTGCAAGTTGTTCCATTACACAAAGGCAAAACTGCAAATGTGCCTGAAAGATTGAAAAATTGAAAGGTTAATTTGAAATTCTAAATTTTCTTTCCTCCTAACAGAAGAGTTTCAAGCTGTCAACTTTATGGTAAATATGATGGAGAATAAAAGGGAAAAACTGATCGACAACCTTTGGAAAACGAAACTTGATTATAGCAATCAATCAATGTGAAGATCACGAAACGAAAATGGCAAAATCTGCAGAACAGTTGCAGCTTATATGACTCCTTGAAAAATTGCAAACCTTCCAGTGATCAAATAAATAGATATAATCATATAGATATTAAAAAAAAATATTAATATCTGTCTCCGTTATTAAAACCAATACTTAAAACATTCCCCAAAATCAGAAATAGTAACCATTGGGAAAGAGGCTAGTGCTAAAATATACCTCATGAATGGTCATAAGGCTTGGCTTGTCTCCCACTGGTGGAGTTTGATTGCACACAACATGGCAAATAGGCAACCTGGAAGATGTACCATCACACAAAATACGGCTCCGACCAGCAACGATGTCCATCCATGCCCCCCTACGTTTTTCCAATGGACGAGAATATGGATCAAAATAGAAGTAAGCTATTGGAATGCCTAAGCAATTTTTGACACAGTAAAATCTGACATCTTTGTTCCAAATGTGGAAGGAATGAACCGTATATTGATAGGATGAGGTTTGTTTGATATCATCACTAGCAGAAAGAAACGAGAAAATGAATAAGTTAGATAGATATTACTGAAGCTACGCCATCAGCTGGGCCAATCTCAATATCAAAGAGCATCTTTGAGAGGTTGAAAAAACCATCTATAACCACTGGCAGTGAGAAATAAGGACGTAATTCTTCCTGTAGAAATGAGATGCAGCAGGAAAGGAAATTAGACTTCTCCACACAAAAGCATATCCATAGAGGTAAAAATTTTAAAATTTAAAACAAAACAAAGAGAAAGAGAGAGAGAGAGAGAGAGAGAGAGAGAGAGAGAGAGAGAGAATAAAAATTAAAAAAAAAGTAATTGTCAATGCTTGATACATTACTTATGCTGTCAGCATTTTTGTAGGCAAAACTTTCTTTTCTGGTCATGAACAATTCCATAACTAGAGCATCAACCAGAGAGCATCCACGATATCTATATGATTGATTGCTATAATCAAGTAAGTGAAGAAAGATTCTACACTAATAAACCTCTATAATGGATACATACGCCATTAGGACAGAAAAAGTTAACACCTTGACCAATTTCATTCTTAAAAAACCAAGCAATTGAGATTATGAACCGATAAAATGGTTTTTGGTGTTTCAGTAAAGCTTTTTGTAATTATTCATAAAAGCCCAAAAAGTATACTGGTTCTTCAATTATAAAACGGTGCCATTTTGGTTAAATAATATGCGGCGGTTATAAAAACGCCGTTCAAAATTAAGAAAAGTGATGCTAACACTAATTGGAAAATTTGTGGGTTTGGTATGGGAATTGGAAAATTTGATATTCACCTCTGTGAGTCCAACCATACTTAATTTCTGGGTGAGTGAAACAAGCTGCTGGAATGCTCAAACGGTTGAGCACGTGATCTTTTCCACTGACTTGTTCAACAACTATATGAAGAGAGCAACGCTAAATGTGCAATAGGTGTAAAATGTAAAGCATATAGTCGAAAGTAGCAAATAGCAAGGTAATAACCACATACCAGAAAATTGTGCACTGGCAACATAAGCAAGCATCATTTTCCATTTGCATCACCAATACAATACAAGTGAGGCACCTAATGGTAGAAGTATTATTTCAAGAACCAGTTGCAAAAGCATATAGAAAATTGTGTTCATGACGGAATGTATAGATAACAAACGATACAAAAATGAGAACAAATGAATTGGGGGTGAATTGGGACTGCAAATTGCCTGAATATATATATATATATATATAAGAGGAAATTGGGGGTGAATTGGGACTGCAAATTACCTGCAAATGAAGGGCATCCATGTCAGCACAAAGAGCCACAACAGGGCGAGAAGCAGAGCCAAAATGAGAACAAATTTTACCATCACTTGAGATCTATAAAGCATTTGGTAAATAGAAAAAAGTCAGCAAATAAAGATCCACTTAATTTACCAGTTGCAGTTCCTATTCCCATTAGAGATGACCCTGCATTTTCCATGATAGCTCACACATCTGCAAAGTCAACATTAACCAAACCTGGGACCTGCAGTTGAAGTAACCTACCACCAATTAGAAAAATAAAACATTTTTAAAATGTAGAAGCTGACAAATAGGAAACCTTTGACAAGAAAACCCCAACATTTGAAAAATATATGAACCCAAGACCATCCTTCAAAGTGGAAAGAGAGAGAGAGGACCTCATTGAATGATAATAGCTAATAAACAAACATTATATATAACAGCATCCTAGGAAAGCATAATTATAGCCACCTAAGCAATACTTTTTTCTTTCCATTTTTTTAAGATGGACACCAACCAGTTTCGATCTATGTTTATTGAGGGTGTCAAAATGAGTAATACTTGTTCTTCATGTTTTAAGTTGATAATCTCTTGTTAATATCACCACGAACGCAAAGATCACCACGAACGAGTCAAAAATAGAGTCGGTTTGAAGATGTTAATATGCGCATAGGGACTAAAACTTACAGATCTGAACGAAAGCAATCAATCGATCAAATCCAGTGAAGAGTGTTCGATCGCGATCAATAATTTAAAAATCAATCAATCGAGATTAGCCTAAAAATCGATCACTAGACTAAAAATCGATCGCGATCAATAGACATAAATTAGTATATATATATCAAACAGATTTGAGAACGTTGATACAGATCTGAGTTTGTATATAAACAAAATCAAAAAATCAGATAAGGACTCACCAAATTAATCTTCAAATCGGACTGATCGAGAGCTTTGAGCCAAGATGGAGAGAACCAGATCATGAATCGGAGCCCACGATGCTCGATCTAGTGACCTTTCACCATAAGAAAGAGGAGTGATGAAGAGACAGAAAACCTAGAGCTATCTCGGGACTGAGAGAAATAGAAGAATGAAAAACGCGTGGGTCTTAAAAGGGAAAAAATGTTCCTACACCAAGCACGCGTGTTTTTTAAAATGAGTTGTTTACAAAAATATTTTGAAAACCTTTAAAACGACGTTTTTTTAAAAAACGCCATAACAAAAACGTGGCTATAGGCCAATTTTCTTGTAGTGTTCCAACCGATTAGATTTTGAGATTTTCGAGAGGACGCTTTCGATCTAGCTTCTTTGCTTCCAATCTTGAGGTAGGGGGTTCTCTTAGCCTTGAATGTTTATGATTCAAAGTGATTTTGTTGCCACTTTGGGATTTTGTTGACATTTTGGAATTTTGAGTTGATTATGGGTTAAAAACATTAATGGCTTGTTGTTTACTTACAAATGGGGTTTCCACTCCAATTTTTAAAGGATGTCGAATGTTTTTAGCATATTGATAAATAGTAATTGTTGATTTAAAGATTTAACTAAGAAAAGAGGAAAACCCCCAATTTTCTTTGAAACCCTAGGTTGATTAATGATGATAACCAATGATTTGTCCCAAATTGAAAGTAGAATAATGAAATTGAGGTATTGAATTATCTGTGTTCAAGTTTAATTGGAATTTAGAAATGTTTGAAAATTATGTTTAAAAATTTGTGAATGAACTACGTTATGAACATTGTAATTCATGCTATAATGTGAAGGGAAAATTGGGGAAATAATCTATGACTGACATGGATGATATGAACTCGGTTTTGGGAATGTTGAAATGAGATCCAAGGGTTTATTTTGAATTATTTTGAATTGCAAATGATGTTAATGAACTAAGTGCTGTTGACTTTGTTGGATTATGTTGTGTTGGCTAATATTGAATTGAATAGTGTCATACTATGATGAATTATGTTTGAACTATGGATTGTGTAGGGTCAGCTATAGGGGCGGACCACGCATCTGAACACTGTGAGTAATAGTACGAAAATGTACATTTTATTTACCGTTGATAATTATTGTCACTAATGCTCTGTTCCTCGTAAGTGATACATGAACATTTATGACGATTGGAAGTCAATGTGAACGTTGAAAGATTGGCATACATCGGTATGACTTTAAAATCATTATGTCCTGTCAATAGTTAATAAATGGAACTATGGTATTCTGGTATCTCTGGAATCATTCAATCGGTAAAATGTGTTTACCTTTCGTTAATACTTATCAAGAACGTTCTGTTAAACTTAAATTAACTGCATTAACTCAGGTGAATGATGCAATGGTTACCAGTAATACTCTGTTAGTTGCAGGTCAACCATATTAACATGTATGAATGATTAAATAAAGGTGTATGTTACTGATTAATAGCTTAAGTGAACCATTCCATTTCTTAATGAATAAAGAGACTTTGTGTTCATCTTCGAAGAATCAGAATAATTGGAAAGTTATGTAAATCCATATGAACTCAAAGTTATTCAGAATCTACGACATGAATGCAAAAGTTTAACATCATTCTGTGACCCACATGAGAATGTGAATTATTCTATTTTGTTAAGCGCACGGTAATGACATGATATAACAAAAAATGCTCTATTACGTTATGAATTAATGAATGATTATTCATATATGTAAAAGTATTCATGGCATCCTTAGCACAAGGCCCTTACCCGAGGGTAATAATACCGTGGTCCTATGGCCCTTGCCCGGGGGTAATAATACCATGGTTCAAGTATGTTACGAGATATCTCTTGCCACCGACGGTCTTGTACGGATGGTACCATCGACGGTCTTGTACGGGTGGGTTATGTTTTGCAATCGACGGTCTTGTACGGATGGTACCACCGACGGTCTTGTACGGGTGGGTTATGTTTTGCCATCGACGGTCTTGTACGAATGGTACCACCGATGGTCTTGTACGGGTGGGTTATGATCAAGCATGAACTCTGATTTCTGTTTCTGATTCAAGCATAATTAAGAATATGTATGAATATGTTTCTATTTATCCGTTCCATTTATGCCATGTTATAACATGATATGAATTGATCGGTCCTTAAGACCTAATGATTTCTGGTATGGAACAAAGTGCTACACGGAACTAAGTGCTACGACGTAAGTCACCTCTAGAATCCGTGTGAGACACCTCTTGGGTTCATACGAGTATGTTCAAGGGCTATATGCCAACATGTGTAAAGCTTAATGTTAATACGTTCAAGGGCTTAATGCCATTCTGATAAGGGCTGTAATGCCATTCTGATAAGGGCTTAATGCCATTCTGTTAAAGGGCTCAATGCCACTCTGTTCAAGGGCTTAAAGCCATTTTAGTTAAAAAGGGGCCTAAGGCCGTTCTGACATTAGTACAGAATCAGATTATCTACCTGTCTTTTATATTATATACGCTATGCTTTGCATTATAATTCAAGTTGAACATTGAATTATTCAAGTACTATTATTCACTGAGGTTATCTCACTCTGTATTTTGTCTGATTCCGTAGGTCATACGTTTGGAGGTCAGCCACAACTCTTAATGCTCGTCTACCTTTGTCAGCCTCTGTGTGTCCAAGCATTTGGGTGAAGCCTACCCGTTTTGTGAAGTTTTGGCTTACATTCTGACTATCTATATAT